AAATGTGACATTATTGGTAGGGGATGAATACTTTTGCAAGGCACTGTATATTAAAGTTTAATAATGATTAAAAGTGTAGGAAGGTTGAATTAATACATTTGTTTTCTAATCACCTTCATGTTAATAAATGCAAAAAAAATATTTTTGTTCATCATTTAATCAATATTTTGGCAAGTTTCCTGAAAAATAATTAACTTAATAAATATACATGTTAAAATAACAATGCTTCAACAATCTCATATTTCACTGGCTATTATACAAAGAATATATAACAAAAGTTTATGTTATTTTGAGCACTATTATAAAAAGAAAACTTCTGATTAACATTTTTATAATTTTTTTATATAAATAATTCTTATACTTACACAAGAAGATTGAACTTATGGACATTTGAGTCTAGGTGAACACATATACACTGCCTTGAAATAAAAGAAAAATATACATTTAGTTTAAAGCTATCAATTTCAGAGAAGTAATGAAATTAATATTAACAAAACACACTACAGGAAGACCCCTGCATATTATTAGGCTGATTGTCATGACTGTAAAAGGCTCCTTAATGTATTAGGCATGTATAAAGATTTATGACTTTTTTTTTTTATAAGATGAGAATGTTGTGTGTTCAACAATTCCTTATTGGAAACACCTAGTGTTGAGTCTATATAGCCATTTGAATACAAAGTTACAAACATAGTGATCTCAAGAGTTTAATAATACTATCTTTGCTGGAGAAAAAATAAGAAAGCCTGATTTGAATTTTGAAAAGACACATCCAAGTTGTTATCTAAGGAAAGATCTTACTTGGAAATTGAACAAGCATAAATTCATCACTAAAGTGTGGGTAAGTGAAAGTTACAATACATTTTGGCTGCAGAAATAGTGACATGAAGTTAATGTTTTAAAAGCTTGTTGATTTGATTGCTGATGTTGATGAAATAAAGAGGACAGTCATTTTTTCATGCACTTGTCAAATGTTAGAAAGTTCTTCTTGTAAACAAAAAATGGTTTGAACATTTTAATTAATTTATATCTTATGATTTCAGGAAAGAAAAAAAAAGTTGAAAGATTAGCATACAACCCAGTATAGTTCTTCTGACGAAACATTCAACATTGAAATCAGTTTCATCACATGAACCAAATATGTCCAAAAAAGTAAGTGTAAAACACTTTTAATTTATACAGTAAATTTTGGTTGCCATATTGTTTATTATGATATTCAAGAAAACAATTAACTTGGTTTTGATTTTCAAAAGCTCAAGCTGCCTCATCCATATATCTGGTCTAATACAAAGGTTTAACTCTATGAGCTTGGTCTAATTGACCAAGTTCATAACAATGGAGTACTCATTACTGTTTCCATACTATAACTTTTAATACAGTAAGTGTACCTTCACAAAATTTTGAAGAATTTCAGTAAACATTAGAAGTCTTATATTATAAGATATATAATAAGATATATATATATTATTATATATTATAAGATATATTATAAGATAATTATATTTTTAGCTATGGTATAGTGGCTCATATAATGGCTCTGAGTTTTTGTTATTGTTTTTTTCAAGTACAAACTTTTAGGTCATAGCTCCATCATCTCTTGACTGATTGAGACTAATTACAGTTTTGGACTCAGGTGGCCAAACCCTTTTGCCTGATGTATTTGACCATGCCTAAGGTCTCATAGATTAATTTACTCTAATCCTGCCTAAAATAATTTCAAATTGAGGGTAGGCTGGTAAAGATCCTAATGAGTAATAAAATTGAACTTGGTATACGTGCACCCCATGCTTGGTATTGCTGGTGCACAAAAATATAGCTAATAAAAAGGAAAACAAAAGGTCTAATAGATTAAATTACTTTAATCCCGCCTAAAAGGATTTCAAGTGCCATGGCTATTGAGGATTCCCTTTTGTTTAATGAAGTATTTTTACAAAAGATTTGTCTGTGAAAATATTGAGTCATTTTTTGACTAGTCTGAGTGCATAGTGGTTTCATGTTAAGCTTAAAAATACTTTTCTTCATCTCAAAAATCTCAAATTTCATTTGCATAATGTCTAAAACCTTTTAAACAAATTTAAAATATTTTTTCAGTAAAACTTCATATTTTACCTGTTATATTCTCTACCCTAATCTATACATCGTTGGTCAATTTGACTTATCTCATAACCACCAAAAAAAAATATTAAAAAAATTTAACTAAATCTAAGTTACCCTTTCTTTCTTTCTTTCAGGAAGGAGTTAAAATTGGAACATGAAACTACATTTGTTTATCCTTTGTAGCATTATACTCATAACAGTATACATTAGTTTATACTTGGAATTTATTGTTTTATTGCCCTATGAACCACATCTAATTAATATTCCCACCATACAAGTTGTAAATCACTTAGTGAGTGTAGAACTCACATTATGTTATCAAATTATGTAACGAGTGAGCTACTCACAAGCATAACTCGTGAAAATAATTATTTTTTTATGTAATCTAACCTAAAAAGTTTCCAATTTTTACATCTGAGTTACTTTTATAATAATAAATAAAGAACACACATGAAAAACTAGAAATAACGTATTTACCTGTGTCTTTATTTCTTAATGTTTTTTGCTGTTGACTGGCAGTGACACTTAACCCTACTTCTATATAGTAACAGTATTATTGCACTAAATATTTTTTTATTTAATTACATAATGCACCAAAGAATATAGAATAATAACATGTAAAAAGTAGACAATGGCCCATAATTATCAAAAATTTCTCTGGCTTTCTCACTATACAACAAAAGCTGTTGAAAATTCATCTAAGCTCTTCAATGTGTTTCCCATGCAAATAAAGCTTGAATTGAAAAAAAAATAACAATTTTCTATACAGAAACCAACATAATATAATACGTCATTTGATTGATTAAATCATTGGCTTTTTATTGGTTATAAATAATATAGTATTTAAAGTCAGAGAAAACTATTGGCAATTTCTGAAAGAGAAGATGTGATTTTCTATTTGATGGTTCTGTAACCAAATAAGGTTGAAGGATATGAAAATTATGCTACATCATTAGCTACATTTTAATGCCAAATTTATTCATATATCATGATAAGAAGGTAGTTTAATTAAATTTTGAATGTAACTCACTAAATCCTCATGGCATGCACAGAAAAATATGTGCATAGCAAGAAGATTAACTCCAAATAGATAATACAATTAGACAATCAGTGTTTTACATAACAGCTTAAGATTCAATCAATCAAGCAAAGGCCTTGACCAGTGCTGCACAAACAATTTTTTTATGGAGTTCCCTTTATTAAACATTTATATTGTTGTGACCCAACCCTCACCTTTTACAACCTATTTATGTTTATACTGTACATTCATTCTTCCATGTTTATTGTTGTTGCTATATTACTTAATAATATTTGTGTGGTTGTTTGTAAAGCTTCTTCATACTTAAATTTGTCTTTCCAGATATAACTTAAATGCTCTTATAATCATTCTTGTGAATCCTTCCTTACTGACTCTCTGCATCCCCTTATGGAACACATCCCACAGTTTGCACACCATTAGACGAATATAACATGTAGATACTCTATGCTTTGTACACTATACAATCGGAGTCGATGTTTTAGATGCATATATTTTATTTGAAAAAAACTGCTTTTCTACTGGTAAAATTTTATACACGCTACAGTCTAGACATATATTTGCCCATTGCTATGCATTCTATATAGAGAATTTAGTTACACAGAAACTATAAATGTTCACTATATTCTCAAACAAATCTCCATGACAATCTCCAGCAGCAGCTTAACATTTTACGTCTTGAACTAATGCAATCAAATAGTCAATACCTACAGTAAATCATCATGAACCATATCAGCTGGCTACTCATTATGTATATTATCATTACATTGTACAAGGGTAACTACTATATCAAGTAATCCTTTGCCTATAGTTGAGCATAAAAAAGCCAGCAAAAAGATTTTAAATAGAATACTGGGAATTTAAAAAACCTGCAAATAGGGACTGTAAAAAAAAAGCAAGGAAACAAGGCTGGAGATACTGTAGATGTTATTTACTCAAACTACAAACCCCTATTTTGGCTTCATGCTGTTACCTAGAATTACATTTGATAGAGTCAAATATAGGGATTTGTAGTTTGAGTAAATAATGTCTACAGTATCTCCAGCCTTGTTTCCTTATTTGTTTCTGATCCCTATTTGCAGGTTTTAAAATTCCTAAATTTTATATTTATCTTGTAAAATATCAAGATGAGAATCAATGTGTCTAACGTTATTGTAAACTGCATGAAAAATAATGTTGTTTAAAAAAAAACTATTTCCTTTAGAAGGTTTTGTAACAATTATGCCATTATAGGCTTATAATCATTTCAGTAGGATCCATTTACCTAAGAATAAACTAAACGTTTCTTATTGTGGTTATAACTATGATGAGAATGAAGTAAAAAAATGCTAAGTATACCACAGTGGTTTCAAAAGTTAATTTTGTCCCAAACAATTTCATTTCAAAGCACTTCAAAAGGTTTCAATAACTTGACTAAATAATACTGGATGAAGATTAAAAAAAAGGAAAACTTTTTCTGAGGCTTTTCTTGTTGTATAAATGGCATGCAGACATAATCATGATGATGTTATAAACAGGGGGCAAAAACTAACCTTTGTAATCAAGCTCATTCAATAGGTTTAAATTCTTAAAAGTTGTTTAATGTTTATTTTTGTTGTGTTCTTCAAGTATATTTGTAATATGTACAAAATTAAACCAACAAATAACTGTCTAAATTCTTTGCAGCAATGTTGTGTGTTGTTATTAACAAGTTTTTTCTTTGTTTTAAGTATTGGTTCTTACCATTTAAATTGCAAAAATTATGTAATAAGTTTGTGTTTTTTAAAATTTGTAAGAAAGTTCAAATATAAAAGACACTTCAAGTTTTTTTTTCCATATTCTAAACAAACACCTTTATACCATTACTACTATTCCATTTCTCAACTGAATGAACAGTTGAAACCCCATTAGGAAACCATAATTTTGCTAAGAAACAAATGTACAAAATAAATAATCATTTACATTATATATATGTCATTTAAAGATTTTTAAGAGGGGGAAACAACAACAATCATGCATTATTATGAGAAAAAACAAATTGTTTTAGCACACACATATATATAGGAAAGTCAATTATAAAATGTACGGCAATAAAAATTAGCACTTTTATATAGAATCAAATACTTAAATGTATACACATACAAAATAATAAAAAACTCAGTATTCCGAAAATTGTTAAATTTTGAAGTCTAAGTTCAAGAGAGGTCAAGTTCAATCTACACTTTGATCAATGTGTGTTATTGGGTTATACTAGTTTTGGAGAATTACACTCTTCATCAGTAAACATAAACAAAAGTTAACCAAAGA